ATTTAAATAGATATAGACCCTTCATATTAATTTATAAAATGTTTTTTATTTTTTCATTTATCGCGCGCGCATATCTATCTAAACACTATATTATCCATTCAATCATGTTATTTATTATAGGAATATATCGTATTAAAAAACTCGTATTCTTTTTCTTTTCATTTAAAAGATTCGTCGTTTGCCAAAGAGACAATTAATAAAGATCCAATGCTGATTTTACACGCGAAAGGCGCAAGTTCAATTTATGGCACAATATAAATAGTTTTCTTCCATTATACTTTATCAAACTAATTATAATCAATCATCATCATATACATACCAGGCATATCTCATTTTCTTATATATATATATATATAATATGTATAAAAAAAAAAGTGAAATAAACAAAATAAGATAAAAAAGAACAAAATATAATCGTAACGCTTTGCCATTAATAAAAAAATAAAAACAAAAAAAATAATCGAATTAATGTATGTCACATTCTCTACAATATTTAACAAAGAAAAAAAACATTAATATGATACTAATTTCATTTTTATGTAGGATAAATTAAAATATAGAATAAAAAATAGAAAAGAAAAGAGAATAATCGTGCTAATGCACAAATTTGACTTTTCTATTTTGTTTTACTACCATTACAAGATCCTTCGTAGTATCTTTTGTTGAATTATTTATCTTTTTTCTTTTTTTTCGAGGAATACAGTTTTATGGATGGTGTATTTTATTTTTATATATTATGCATACAAGTTTTATACTTCAAAATTCAATCTTAGACAAATGAAATTCACCACCCACTAACGAAATTTGATTTGTAATAAAGTTGAATTTGGAATGCAAAACTTGTATCAATCAGACCAAAGATAATTATAAGAGATGTATTACACGTGTTAAACTTGTTCTTATCGATTACTATAATGCATTTTCAATACACTGAATATATAGAATAGAAATAATTGGACAATGACACACCGACCCATATTCCACTATCTCCTCTTATAAGATGATCGCAAAGAGTTAAATTAATTAATTGTTTGTTTGATAAAAAAGAAAAAACGGGATGGTAATGTTGTATAAAAAAAACTACGGATTTACAAGAGAGACAACGGAATTTGTTAATAATTAAAAAATATTAATTGAGTATATCTTTTTTTTTCTTTCTTTCTTTCTTTCTTTCTTTCTTTCTTTCTTTTTCTTCTCAGTAGCATACAATTTTGACGGCATATTTTTTTTAGTTCAATTCGAATTCATGCATATATTATACTCTTTGAAATCATAAAAAAAACATCCTTGCATGATATATATATATTTTTTTTTAAATAATAATAATAATAATAATAATAATAATAATAATAATAATAATAATAATAATAAAAATATATATATATACTATGCCCAGATTGACCATAAGGCTGATTTGGTATTTTCTTCACTAATTATTTTTTTTTTCCATTCTCAACTTATTTATTTACAAAACTGCTCTTCCTCCTCCTTCTCCTATTCTTTCTTCCTCTTCTTCTTTTTATAGTCTGCGAGCTGTTGTCTCCGTTAAACGTTATTATTATTATGTTTTTCATTTTTTCTTTCTCCTCGAAACAAATTATTAAAAATTTCAAATTACGCTACGTATGCTACAACCGTCAACAGTTGCAAATACTATGCCAGACGAAGAATCATTTTTTTTTATTTTTCTTAATACATCTAAAGTTAATTGAAAATATGTTAACAATTCTAGTCTTTGCGAAGAAAAAGAAAAGAAATAAAAAAGAGATATTATTATTATTATTATTATTTCTACTATTATTATTGTTAATGTGGTTGTAGAGTTGCAATATTTGGTTTCTACAAATTTTTTTAACAACCAACGAATTAGGTTCAATAGACCCTTCATATTTTTGAATTATTAGACACACACACACACACATACGTAATACGGGAAAAAGAACATATTTGATTATCTTTAAGAAACAGAAACGAATAAAAATTATGCGACATATCGAATTTTCTCAAATTTTCTGCAGTCATATTTCGGGGAAGAAAGTTAAAAAGAAACAAAATAATAATAATAATANTTAAATTATAAATTGAAGCGAACTAAAAGCTTGATTTAGTGTTCTTTTTCTTTTTTTAGTATTATAAATATTATTCATTAACAACAAAATATCACTCTTGTCTTTTTCTTGTTTCTTGTTTTAAATTTAATAATTAAATCAACATCTCTATGTGAAAATCAATGATCCCTCGTCGTATATATATTTTTAAATTGTTTTTAAAAGCCAATCGTACTACATTATAATATTAATAATAATAATAATAATAATAATAATAAAAATAATATAATAATATTAATAATTACAATTCATGTATTTTTTCTTGTTATTAAATCTAAAAAAAACATGGAAAAGAAACCTGTGTGAATCACGTCATTGTATGCACTATAATAAAGACACACACACAAGACTTGTTCTTTTTTTTTTTTTTAATTATTATTTTGTTAACATGAAAATGCAATAATTCTGCCTCTTTCTTTCTCTTTCTCTTTCTCTCTCTCTCTGTCTGTCTGTCTGTCTGTCTCTCTCTCTTTCTCTCTTTTCTTGCAAAAGTGAACTTAGGAAAATGAATAACACGTTGATATCAGTCATGCGTTCCATTTGCAACACAACAGCAGTTTACGTGGTTACAAGATTACATGTCGAGAGTTAATCCGCACGAATATTACGCATCGGCAACAAACCGTTCCTACCGTAGATATTGGTAATCTTATGACACAAAAATCGGTGCTGAGATCAGAACGCAATTAAAAAAGAAAAAATATTACAAAGAAACAAATAAACAAACGAAAAGAT